ACCCGTTTCACCATTTTATAACCTAGGAAAAGTTAATGGAGAAAAAATTGTGGAGTAAGAGATTTCGCAAAGAAGACTACTTTGCTGCCAAATGACGTCAACAAACAGTCTTGGAGAGGAGTGATTGCTTCCTTGCTGATCAAGGAAAAACCTCCAGATGCACAACACCGACCCCACCCGAGCAATCCCCAAGTTCTTAACCGAGGTAATTTTCTAAACTCACATTTATTTCAAGATACTAACTTGCCTTATCTATATGCAGGTAATAAAGTTTTGAGGATAAAACTTCTTCAAGAGGGAGGGTATGATGCGGTCATCAAACCAGCAGCTGCACCAAAGTTCAATCAAACCGGATGCACAATGCTAAACAAACCCGAGAAAGACATATGTTTACTGTTTGAAGCCTACCAGCTCAACCACGATGATTCCCAGTTGGAGAATATTCTCAACTCAATTAAAAGTGTCATCAAAGAAGAATCAGATCAAAAGGAGTAATCCAATTTACAAACTAGAGGATTCCCAGTTTACCCGATTTAGACATGCGAGCATTTATTGGAGGATTCCTGCCGAACCAGAAGGAGTTAAGCTACAAATCAACTTGCTATGGAATCTTCGTTCAACAAAGAAGCTTGTCGAATTGGATTCATAACTATACTATTTTGGTTTAGGAGTTATTCAATTTCTAATCCAAAGGGTCATCGGCTTGTCTTATTTAGAACTTTTCAAGTTTGGCACCTCTCAATCATTTATATGGCGATCTTGAGAGTTTCCGTCTCATCTACAGACTCTTGAAGAAGCTTATATTTGCACAACTAATCAGAGAATCCAAAGGATAATGCTTGGTCACACTTTTCTTATTTTGAGTCGATCTCACCATTAATGCTCCAACGGCTACTGCTCTTATTTTGAGCCAATGGATATATCACAAAAATCACAAGATACAAGCTACACATTCCAACGGCTTGTTTCAGTTTTAATTCATATGTTTTCTTTCCTTATCTCAGTTTCCAGTTACCGTTAGCATTAATTCTCTTTGGAGCTCTTTATAAGCTCGTGTTTCTTATCATTTGTAGTCACCCTTGAAGTTCGAAAGTAATAAATAGTTTGTTCTTTATCCACAAAATTTGAGTCTTTGTGTTGTTCTGATTTCATTAGAGTATAAGTGAGCGATTCACTTCTATTCTCTTGAAGCCACGAATCTGTTTGTTTGTGTGATTCAAACAACCTTATTCGTTCACCGATTGAGCGAGTCAATCAACCCTTATCTCATTCTATCTTGACTACATTCCATCTTCCGCAAGATTAAGCTTGGAATCTCTTGATCATTGAGTGATCATAAGTTGGAGTGATTCCAATCTTATATCACTTTTACTCATACTCTTCCTTGTCTTCCCTTCTTCTTGGTAAGAGTCAAAGTTTTCACCTTTTTCTTTGAATCTGCAGAATAAGCCCGAATTTGATGTGTTGATCGATTGAAAGTGTGTTCTTTTAATGCTTTCATGCAAAAAAGATGATCTTTTTTTTTGGTTCAATGGAAATTGCAGTTGTGGATCTGACTTATCGTGGCTGCTAATAGCAATGCGTGGTTTGGAACAACAGTTTTAGTGACCAACATGAGAAATTTCCCGTTTAGTAGAGGCATTGTTATCAGAATTCTCAAGGGTTATGCTGCAACTGTGATCCCTCTAGCTAAGTACCGCAAGGCTATATATGGGTTTTAGCTCTCAGTTGGTATGAGGTTTAGAATGATGTTCGAAACCGAAGATTCCGGGAAGCGTAGGTAAGTGATCCGTAAGCCGCAAACTTTCTGTACTTACTGATCAAATTTAGTTGTTCACTATACTAAATCCTTCAATGTGTATATTAGATACCGAGAGTTTGGCCAACAGCAGATGAAGAGACTCAAGGTGGATCTCGACCGTCGGATCCATGATCAGAAGTTCGCTAGAGAGATTATGAACATACCAGACGGAGATTGGACCAAATACGGTGACAAATTCGAAAAACCTTACTCTCTCGGTGCTTCTTCCTCCTCCTCCTCTGCCGCTAAAGTTCTTTTTGTTTGTTTGTTTGCAATACTTCATGTTTTAGGATCCATTTTCATTACCACATTATGTAGGCTTGGCTTGTTGTGTGTTGCATACCTATACATTTGGTATATACATAATCATTTGAATATCTTCTAACCTGAATCTGGATTATGGTATCCACTAGATTATCTTCGAGGTTTAGAAATTTACCATTGAATTATAGTTGTAGATTTCAAAGTCTTCCAATACGTGAGTTATCTCTATCTGAAACCTCTGAATTTTACTCAGAAATTAGACAAAGAATGTAAATTTGTTTATGATTGTGACTTGTGAGTATATCATCTCTTGATCTTAAAAAGCTTTTACTCCTTATAGTTGTTAATTTGGCGTTTCACAGTATTACCTTTTCTCTGTTTGTTTGCAATACTTAAATGCTCGTTGATATAAGATTGGAATCCACCAAACTTAAGATCACAAGATGATCAAGAGATTCCAAGCTTGAACGCGGAAGATGGTTGTTGATAGAGATGGAAATGAGATAAGGGGTGACTGACTCGCTCAATCGGTGAACGAATATGGTTGTTTGAATCACACAAACAAACAGATTCGTGGCTTCAAGAGAATAGAAGTGAATCGCTCACCCAAATTCTAATGAAATAAGAACAACACAAAGACTCAAACTTTGTGGACAAAGAACAAACTGTTTATTACTTTAGAAATTCAAGGATTACTACAAATGATAAGAAACACGAGTTTATAAAGAGCTCCAAAGAGCATTAATGCTAACGGTAACTAGAAACTGAGATAAGGAAAGAAATCATATGAATTAAAACTGAAACTAGCCGTTGGAATGTGTACTTGTATCTTGTGATTTTCGTGATATATCCATGATGAAGGAGCCTTATTAATGCAGAAAACGTCTTCATAAAGAGTAGTAGCCGTTGGAGCATTAATGGTGAGATCGACTCAAAATAAGAAAAGTGTGACCAAGGCTTGATCCTTTGGATTCTCTGATTAATGGTGCAAATATAAGCTTCTTCAAGAGTCTTTAGATGAGAGGGAAACTCTCCTGGTCACCATATAAATGATTGAGAGGTGCCAAACTTGGAAAGTTCTAAATAAGACAAGCCGAGAATCCTTTGGATTATAAATTGAATAACTCCTAAACCAGAATTAGTATAGTCATGAATCCAATTCGACAAGCTTCTTTGTTGAACCAAGATTACATAGCAAGTTGATTTGTAGCTTAACTCCTTCTGATTCGGCGGAAATCCTCCAATAAATGTTCGCATGTCTAAATCGGGTAAACTGGAAATCCTCTGGTTTGTAAATTGGATAACTCCTTTGTTTGAACTCATTTTGATATGATTCTTCTTTGAGGACACTTTTAATTGAGCTGAAAATATTCTCCAAGTAGTTGCATGCATTGAATCATCGTGGTTGAGCTGGTAGGCTTCAAACAGTGAACATATGTCTTTCTCGGGTTTGTTTAGCATTGTGCATCCGATTTGATTGAGCTTTGGTTCAGCTGCTGGTTTGATGACCGCATCAAAAAGAGAGCCAAATGAGTCCATAGCCCAAACTTGGTACCGGCGTAACTGGGAACGAAAGTGATGCTCTCTCTAACATCATTGACAACACTAGGCATCGTGAGTTGTTGCTGATTGTAACCCAAGAAATCTAAGATTTTTGTTTCGATTTGGCTTATAGATTTGAGTATTTTATTATTTCTGAGTTAGTTTTTTTTATGTTCTTCTTACTGATCTAAGGTTTTGACGTTTTTTATAAAGTCTTTAAACAATTTATAAAGTTTTTAAAAATTTTATAAGGTTTATAAATTTTTAAAACACACCAAAAAAAAGTTAAACAATCTGGATTAGTTTTGTTCTTAATGTTTTTCTAACTATTCTAAAATTTTGACGTTTTTTATAAATGTTTTAAACAGTTTATAAAGTTTTTGAGGTTTATCAAGTTTTTAAAAAGTCTTTAAACACACTTAAAAAAAAGTTAAACAATCTGGATTAATTTTGGTTTTGATGTTTTTTAACTAATCTAAGGTTTTGACGTTTTTTTATAAAGTTTTTAAACGGTTTATAAAGTTTTTAAAAGGTTTTTAAAACAGTAAAAAAAAAAGTTAAATAATCTGGATTAATTTTGTTCTTAATGTTTTTCTAACTCATCTAAGGTTTTGACGTTTTTTATGAAATTTGAAAAAAATTTATAATTTTTTAAAAAATTTATAAGAGCTATATATTTGTGTTTAAAACTGAACAATTGAAATAATAATATAAAGTTTTTAAAAGGTTAATAAGGTTTTTAAAAAGGTTAATAAGGGTTTTTAAAAGGTTTGGTAAAAGAGTTTAAAAACCTTATAAACTGTTTAAAAATCTTATAAATTAATTAAAAATATTAAAATGGTTTTTTAATGTAAATGAAAACTCTTAACCCTTTCCCCCCTAAAAAAAACTATACCCTAAATGTACAATAGTTAACCCAAACTCAAAATTTTTTTAAAAAGGTTATGTGTTTGCG